TCCCCTCCTCTCCCCCAGCGCCAAGTTCCTGCTGATGGTGCGGGACGGCCGGGCCTCCGTGCACTCCATGATCACGCGCAAGGTCACCATCGCCGGCTTCGACCTCAGCAGCTACCGGGACTGCCTGACCAAGTGGAACAAGGCCATCGAGGTCATGTACTCCCAGTGCCAGGAGATCGGGCGCTCCCGCTGCCTGCCCGTCTACTACGAGCAGCTGGTGCTGCACCCGGAGCAGTCCCTGCAGGCCATCATGCAGTTCCTGGGCATCGCCTGGAGCGATGCCATGCTGCACCACGAGGACCTGATCGGGAAGCCGGGCGGCGTCTCCCTGTCCAAGTGAGTCCCTGCAGCTAGAGATGAGGTTATGCCTGCACCCTTAGCAGGGGGCTGCCGTGACCTGGCTGTTGCAACCTGGCTGCAGCCAACTGGGAAGGGGAGGAGCCCATCTCAATCATCCCCTGATTGTGAAATAAAGCATCTTGTGCACCCGAGTGCATGCATACACACACACACACACACACACGTGTGTGTGTGCAAACGTGTGCACTCCCTCTCTGTGCTCCAGAGAGCTGCTGTCTGCAGCCGCTGGAACGCTCCCTCCCACTGCGGGTTGTTAGTTCTCACCTGCTCCAGCCAGCACTGACCGTAGCCCGTGGGGACTGGCCGGGAGGTCTCTGCACCTGTTCCCTTCTGGCTCTGGGCATCCAACATGGGCTGCACCTGTTCCCAACGAAGCCTGGGCAGGGGTGCTTCCAAGCTTGGCTTTTTTTAGCCCAACCAGGGTCCTCCCAAACGGCGCTGCACGGGCCATGACTCAAGCTGGTGATGCCTGAAGCAGCGTTTTTGGCGTGTTAGATATTTAGGGTGTGGTGTCCTCAGTCCCAATGGGCATGGTGCTGAATCCCTCCCGCGGGGTGGAGACAGAAAACCACTGAAAGCTTGCACGAACGATGGGCCCTAGGCAGGGATTGGAGGCCCCACCAAGCAGGGTGGGACGTGTGGCTCCTGCTCCCAGGGCTGGCCCGGCTCCAGGCCTGTAACTGTGCTGCCATGTAGCCTGTCTGTAGTAAAGCCCTCCTGCGGGGCAAGCCTGGCTAGGGGCTGGGGCAGGGCAGCCCCCCATGAGATGCATCCGTGTCCCTGAGCTCCGTCACGGCCTCTCGTGAAGCTTCAGGTCTCTTGTTTTTCAACAAGTCCTCCCGGGGGATGCAGAGCCCACTAGTCTAGCAGGACACAGACCCCAGCCCGCTCCAGCATCCCGGTGAGTGAGTGCCTGACCTTTTCCCCCAGGATCGAGAGGTCCACGGACCAGGTCATCAAGCCTGTGAACTTGGAGGCGCTGTCCAAGTGGATCGGGCACATCCCAGGCGACGTGGTGCAGGACATGGCCCACATTGCGCCCATGCTGGCCAGGTTGGGCTATGACCCCTACGCCAACCCCCCCAACTACGGCAGCCCGGACCCCCTGGTGATCAACAACACGCACCGGGTGAGTGCGGGGCCCCCTGCGCGGGGTGGGGCGGGCTGCGGTCGGGCTTGGGGCCACGAAGGACTGGAGACGACAAGAGCCAGGTGAAAGGCTGAGACTTTAATGCGCTTTCCTAAGTCCCTGGGGGGAGAAGGGGTCTCGGCTGGCCAGGATCCAGGCAGCTGGGGGCAAACCCTGCATCTTGGCTGAACTAGCCCTGCCACCACGCCAGCTGTTGGCCCCGGGGACGCACTCCACATGCCCCGTGTTAAACCGCTGGTGCTCGTGTACCTGGCGTGGGCGCCCAGGGGTGAGCCAGGCGGTGAGCAGCCCCCAGCCCAAGGCTACGGGGAGTCACTCCAGCTTTGCTTCTCTTGCAGGTCCTGAAGGGGGATTTCAAAGTGCCGGCTAATCTGAAAGGGCATCTGCAGGTAAGAGCCGGCGGCAACGAGAGCGCTGTGGGTGGGTGTGCCGCACACCGGGCAGGCAGCAGCTCCATGCTGGCGGCTGCTAGGAGAAGCCCCTCGTCTCTCCTGCTTGCATCTCTTCCCCCTCTGCCACGCGGATTGCAGCCTCCCAACCCTCCAAATCCTTTTGCCGTACCCAGCCTGCATGCTAACCCCACTGCCACCCCTCCAGCACTGCCCTCGCTCGCAGCTCTGGGCTTGCCTTTGCGAGTCTGCATTCATCCCCCCCACCCTGCTGTCCCAAAACCTGTGCTGTGCCCACACGACCGTGCTGTGGTCAGGACCCGAGCTGGCACGGGGATCTCTGCCCCGTGGACCACCCCAATGCCTCGGCATCCCCTGGTTGTCTCGTTTTGTCGGTGCAAAGGGGCTGTTTGGGGCCGAGCTAACTCTCGTCCGTCTTGGGTTGTTCCAGGTGCCTCAGAACACGTCGGCCCCTCACTCGCTGAGTTAATGATTTCCAGGTAAGGGGTTGTGCTCCGGGTGTAATTGTGCTTCCTCCCGATGTGCAACATGCACTAAGATCTCTTTCCTGGAGGTACCTGCACGCTGCAGTCTTCAGAAACTTCAGCAACATTAGAAACGTCTTGCATGTGGGATTGATGGGGCTTGGGTCAGCACCGAGTAGGGAGGGGCGATGTCCAGGTCTTGGATCTCGCTAACAAGGTGTTTGAAGTAGCTGTGGGTTTGAAGAGTGGACCCCGCGGTCGCTATGTTCAGCGTCTCGTCCCTAACGTCTCGCGTCTCTTCTGTTTCAGGAGGCTGCATGTGGCCTTTCAGTGTCCAGCAGAGAAGACAGTTTGCAGTTGCAAAAGTGGAAATCTGTTATCCAAGCATATTGCTTGCTAATATTGCCAAAATAGGACTGCTACACAAGGAATGTATTTGCATTTATTTGCAAAGGCCAAACATGACACACGTCAGATACCAGTTGTCTACCTTCTCTGAATGCTCTGTGGTAAAGAGGAAAATCCTGGGAGACGAGTTTCCTGGCTGGAACTTCAGAGCGCGTTGGAAAGAGATTCACCCATTCGGTTACTTGAGGACTTTTTAAAGTTGTATTTAAAACTGTCTCGTCATTCTGTTCTTCTGTTTGCAAACCGGGAATAGGTGTCGATAACCTCGTAGAGCATTGGTTGTACAAGTGACAATCGGAGACCTGCCTTCTGTTGTTCCTTCACTTGTAATTTACAGAATCTATTTAAAAATTAATATATGAGGCCATCTGTTTCATTCCTGGCTCCGCTTCGTTCGTTTCCTGCGGTGATTAAACGCTGTTTCCAGACGAAAGGGCGTGTCATCATCGTTTGCGCTAATGATGCGGGGAAGGGCGTTCGTGGGCTGCAATGAAGGGCTGCGGACGCGGGAAGGATGCGGGGCCCGTGGGTGGGCCTGGGGGCTCTGACATGGGTGGTGGACAGACCTGCCAGCCTGGGCAGGTGCTTCAACCCCGCGGATGTGCCGTCGCTGACCCGAGGGGTGCAGTTCTCCAGCAGCAAGTGTTTAAATACCGATTTGAATGAGAAACAGTGGCATGAGGAATCCCTCCCTCCCCCTTCACAGTGCTGGGGAAGTGAGCTACAGCTGAAAGCTTGTGCGTGTGTGCGGGCAGTCGTTTTGGGCTGAGGGCCGCTTACTGAGGTTTGGCAAGCCATCGAGGGCTGCACGGACAGGCAGCCAGGGAAGATAAAAAATTTAGAAAATTAATATTTAGGGGCCCAGCAGACCGCATTTTGCCCACCCCGATACATAGAGAGTGTGTGTGTGTGCATATGCATAGTGTGTGTGGGTACGTGCATATGTGTGCATACATAATCATAGTGTGTGTGCATGTATGTAATGTGTGTGTATGCATAATGTGCATGTGTACACAGGTGTGTGTGTGTGTGCGCATACATAATCATAGTGTGTGTATGCATATAGTGTATGTGTATGTGCATGTGCATGTATGCAGCGTGTGTACACGTCATGTCCGTGTGTTCATAATGAGTGTGTATGCTTAATGCATGTGTGAGTGCATACATTGTGTGTGCATACACTGGGTGGGTGTACATATGTGCATTTACCTGCGTGTGTAGATACATAATGCACGTGTGTGTGCAGAAGTTGAAGAGAAAAAAGTGTGTGTTGGGGGTGGGAGGTGGAGCGCAGACCTCCCAGCCCTGCCTTTTCCACCCCACCCTCCCAACCATAGAGGAGTCCGCCGAGGCGGACAGCCGGCCGCGCCGCTCTGTCCCACCCCCTCACTCTATGCTCCGCGGCGCGGGCTTCCGGGCAGGTGCTGGCGCATGCGCTCGCGGCCCCGGAAGGACATCCGGCCGCTTCCTGCTTCCGGTTCAAGCTGCAGCTCCGCTTCCTGGTTCGGGGAGCGGTGAGTGCTGGGGGGGGTGGGTTTGGGGGGAGAAGAGGTGAGTGGGGGAGGGGCTGGAGGAAGGGAAGGGGG